GCATGCTGAGCATGCCCTCCCGGTGTGTGGAGTTTACATCAGTGAACAGGCATAGAACCACTTTGCTGGATTTTCTCTCTCTCTCTCTCTCTCTCTCTCACGAAATGGCAGTTCTGAGAATCATAACTAATAGAGCACACTTATTTCATTTTGTGCTATTCCCAATAAATAAAATTTATTATCTAAAGAGCTGTCCACGGAGCTTAGCTGCTTTCTTCACTAGAATATGATTTCACATGGGCCTGCTCCATGTTGCTGCTATTCTGAGCCAAACTCCTTCACTTTAAATATGGTAACACAATAATAATAAATAAATACAAAGCATGGATACAGCAATACATATTTTCAAAGTGACATAAGAGCATTAATCTTCAGAGTCCAGCTGTAAAATAGGTTACTGTCTCAGTTTACAGATCTATACAATATATTACATACATACCTATCCAGATGCTTCTAAGGAGCATCCGAGCACCTCATATACATTAGGTTTCAGTTCATGAGGGTACTTAAGCACATGAATAGTCCCACATACTTAAATTTAAGACAAGACATACCAATATCGGTGCAGAGGTAGTTGGCATCACCATATCACTTCCTGCTGATTGCCTCTCTACTCTTGTGGCAGCCCTGTGGCTAGGGCAACAAGGTCACCCTTTTCTATACACAAGAAAGATAAATTTATATATGAAAAGACTCAATGGGCTTTGAATGTTGGGCTCAATACAGAGCTAACTGGCTGTAGCTGAATGACCTGTGATATACAGGAGGGCAGACTAGATGTTCCCTTCTGACCTTAAACTTTAAGAAACCTCTATGAAAGCATGTTTGTAATCCAAACTTTCGCCTTTTAAATATGAATGAGTAGTATCTAGCAATAGGTTTCTGGAAAAGAAAGAGGTTTCAGTGAAGAGGGGAGGGATAGCTCAGTGGTTTGAGCAATGACCCTGCTAAACCCAGGGTTGTGAGTTCAATCCTTGAGGGGGCCATTTAGGGATTTGGGGCAAAATCTGTCTGGGGAGTGGTCCTGCTTTGAGCAGGGGGTTGGACTAGATGACCTCCTGAGGACCCTTCCAACCCTGATATTCTATGAAGTATGACAATTACATATGAAGTCTCTGCGATTTCCCTCCAAAGACAAAACATTGCCACTCATTAAATCAAGGCAGGCACTCTATTCTGTAAAATGAAGTCTAAGGTTGAAGTGTCTGTCTTCTAGAAGCTACTGCATTTCATGGTTTTTATTTCATAAAACTGAATGATCCCCATAGGTAGGAATTAAGACTTCTGGTCATTCTCCCATGGTTCATCTTTTAAGGTGCTGATGAAATGCCCAAGACAATGTGAGCTCCTGATTAAACTAGGAAGCACATCTGTATGCACACCATTAAAGAGTCTGCAAGGGCAGATGCAGATGACAGTAATTCATACATTAAGGAATGGGCTTGTATATTTGGCAGATTAACTGTTCTGTATTCCATTGCTATGAGGTATGGAAACTGTACTGTGAAATATCCATTACTCATTCCCTCTGCTCTAAACACGTAAGCCTATCAAAGGCAAGCCAGTTGGAGGGAAAAAAAACCCTGCAAAGGGAAGAGTCTATGCATTTAAGATTAATGCTTCTCTTACATAATTTCCCCTGACTTTTAAAATCAGCAAATACGCTAGACCCAGAAGGCAAATGCATGGAAAGAAAAGCAAAAACAGCAAAAATTCTCCAACTTGTACATTAGGTGTCATCAGGCTTTTGTGTTTGAACATCTGAATGAATCATATGTGCATTTTTCATTACGCTCCATACGTGATTGTTCCCTGTTTTGTTCAGTGATTTTTGGCCACTTTGTCATGGCTGTGCTTGGGTTTTTTTGTTTTTGTTTTTAATATACTGTTCTATTACAGAATGATTGTTGCTGCTGCTATGCCTCAGTGTGTATGATACCCAAGAAGAATAATCTTGAAATGAAAGAATACGTCAAAAGGTTTCCCTAGTGAACTATCTTGGAATATATGTTTCCTTGGATCTGACTGTTTAACCCTCACTAGAAAAAAAAATGTTTTGATAACACTGGTCCTTAACATGGTGCAAGTGAATTTTTACAGACAGAAGAATGTTTGAAGAATAAATCAAACCAAATTTCAATCTGTTTTCCTCATTGTTGGAAAAGGATACACCTAACCCTTCCAGTTAGACAGAGCATTCTCTCTCAGTGGATCTGTGAGGAATCTCATTGTTACCTATGCAATTTCTTAAAATTATCTTCTTTTTGCTGTTATGTGAACTCTTTATTTGGAGGTTATAGTTTTCAAAACCAATGCTGTAATTTGGCCAAATTTCAAATGGCACTGAAATATGTTTCTGAGTCTTAAAATCACAAGATGACTTCCACCACTCTCAAATTTGACTATAATCACTCCCTTTATATTTGATGGTACACCACTTACATTACAGACTGGTGTGCCTACTTGACTGGCCATCTCATTTTTGCACCTTTAGGAAGTTTGTTTTGCCAAACAGGAATGAACTGTATTTAAATAAGCAAAATGTTCATCCTTACCACATTTGCCATCTCCATGCCATCTATTGTAAATAAGTCCATGTTTCTGATCATTCAATTGTACTACTCATGCCATAAAGATCTTTCCTCTAAAATATGAACAAATGTGTCTCACTTTTTCCTTGCTGTAAACTATAGTGAAAACAAACCTTATTAAATTCTCATTATTACATAGCACCTATTGTTGTGATATAGCAGAATACAAAATGAAACAGCCCCAAACCCGAGAAAGAGAAGGTGAAATCCCTCCATTCTTTTCTTTCTGCCTCTCAGCATCCTCTTCCCCTGCACATTTTTGTACGTATTTTTCAGCCACATCCTTTCCTTGTATTATAGCCCATCATTATTTCCAAAAGATTGGTGAGAACGGTGGTGCAGTGCTGAACATAAGGCACCATGTTGTCAGATTGCTTGATGAGACAGACACTGCTGTTAATTTTAAAGCAGCAGCAAGCACCCCATCTTGCATATGCAGCCCAGCATAGCATGTTTACAATGAGTCCTAGAGTCTGACTACATGCACCTGGTGGCAAACCATGCCTTTTTGGGACTGTGGTGGTTTGTCAGGGTAGAATTTCAGTCCTCATTCCTAATATACCCTTGTGTGGCTATCCAGTACTGCTGCTGCATGGGTTATAGGGAAAAACTCCATCTGCTTCTTCTGCCAGTTACTAAGCACACTTTTGTAACACTGGCAGGATTTTGCCCCTTCTCACTTTTTCTCAAGTTTCCTTCCATATTTCACCTCTTCTCACCTTATCTCATCACTAACCTTATATTTCACTTAGTTTGCTACCTTAATCTGATGAGGTTCAACAAGGACAAGTGCAGAGGCCTGAAGAAGAATCCCATGCACCGCTACAGACTAGAGACCGAATGGCTAGGAAGCAGTTCTGCAGAAAAGGACCTAGGGATTACAGTGGACGAGACGCTGGATATGAGTCAACAGTGTGCCCTTATTGCCAAGAAGGCTAACGGCATTTTGGGCTGTATAAGTAGGGGCATTGCCAGCAGATCAAGGGACGTGATCATTCCCCTCTATTCGACATTGGTGAGGCCTCATCTGGAGTACTGCATCCAGTTTTGAGCCCCACACGAGAAGAAGGATGTGGAAAAATTGGAAAGAGTCCAACGGAGGGCAACAAAAATTATTAGGGGGCTGGAGCACATGACTTATGAGGAGAGGCTGGGATTGTTTAGTCTGCAGAAGAGAAGAATGAAGGGGCAATTTGATAGCTGCTTTCAACTACCTGAAAGGGGGTTCCAAAGAGGATGGATATAGACTATTCTCAGTGGTACCAGATGACAGAACAAGGAGTAATAGTCTCAAGTTGCAGTGGGGGAGGTTTAGACTGGATATTAGGAAAAACTTTTTCACTAGGAGGGTGGTGAAGCACTGGAATGGGTTACCTAGGGAGGTGGTGGAATCTCCTTCCTTAGAGGTTTTTAAGGTCAGGCTTAAAGCCCTGGCTGGGCTGATTTAGTTGGGGATTAGTCCTGCTTTGAGCAAGGGGTTGGACTAGATGACCTCCTGAGGTCCCTTCCAACCCTGATATTCTATGATTCTATGATAAAGATGCCACAGTCCTTTTCTTACCACGGCTACATAGAAAATGATTGCTGTCCACAATCCACTCCATGTGAGACAAATCCAGTTAGACATTAGTGCACAAAGATTCTGCAGTTCACTAGCTATGGAATTACAATTTTATCCTTCAGGGAAGTGGACTCCACTGTGAGAACCAACACTCCAGTAAAGTGAAAGTCCCACCCATGGAAAAGATGGACCTTCAGACTGATTACAGATAATAATTCTAGTCTTCAGAAATCTCTGTATATATCTATCTAGACAAAGATATAGACCCATGCAAACATCATATCTCCACAGTACACACTGTATTTCACTAAAAAACAGAGAATATTTTGAAATATTACCAGAGAAATTAAAAATGCAAAACTGCAAGAGTAAGAGAAATCATTTTCATATCACTATGTCACAATTTTATGATCAATGTTGTGCCACAGTGCATATTTTCTTCTTCCAATAATGTAGTCTGAGACATTCTAGAATAGAAAAAATAAGCCAGGTTTTGCTTGGGAAAGTTTTCCCAAGGGTTTCTCATTTTTATATAGGAAATCAATTTGCATCACTGATGATATCATTCAAATCAGACAACGCTATGTGGTTAGAAGGTAATTTACTTTTCTACCAAAGCAATTTGATACTTGTTCTGATTTGCGATTTTCATTTTGTTTGTTAATGAAAAAAATTAATGAGCAATGTTACTGGAAAATACAACTCAGAGCACTGGCATTATTAAATATGTTTGCAATATACTGTACATTGTCTTGATTGCACAGTCGGAGCCCAAACCTTGGCGGATGGAATACCAGTCAATCAGCCAAACAGACACCGAACTCATCTGGAGGACTCTTTGCACATACCTTTGCACTGATTTGTGTTTTTGTCAAGAATTGCCTTTGTGGATACAATTTTCCCATACCTACAGAGAAAGAAAAGAAAAAAAAGAAAAAGAAAAAAGAAAAATGCATGTTATTATATTTTAACCCTAGATCCATGCAGACTATTCCATGCAGTTTATTATATATATATGTACACACACACACACACACACACACACACACGAGAGAGGGGGGTTCACCCATAGAAAAGGTACAGGATGGACAGCAAGCTTCCCTGCATTCCCCCTGCACTGCAATGCAGATCTTGAGGGATGTTCATTTTCCATGCCCATTCAAACTCTGATCTCTACACTGAGACTGCCAACAAAAATGCCAGTTACAGGAATGGCCAGTAGGGTATCCAGATAGACAAAGATGTTTCTCTGGTGAAGGAAATTAACTTAATTTAAATGTATATTTGCATTTTAAGCCATCAAAGGAAGTTTTGTTTTTTAATGGGAATGGAGCAGATGCTTTCCCACCATTCACCAAATGCCCTATAAAACTGGCTGACCAAAAAAAAAAGAGATCCAGAGGAAGAATTATTTTTTTTAAAAGGTATCTAGTACATTTTAGACAGTCAAAGGGTTTTTTTTAAATTGTTTTTGTATATTTAGGCTTTTCTAGCTGAAATATTGACGAGTGTTTGCATATATAGCACTACAACAAATAACACAGTTTAAGAGTACCTCCACAAGACTCACTCTTGAGAGGGAATTTTAATTTCATGTACCAGTTACAACTTGTTGCATTCAACAGTTAGACCACAAAGTGAGTGCCTGTCTTTAACTCAAAGAGAAGAGGACTGAAAATGCATATTTGATAGTCAGTTTGGAAATAGTTTATGTCATGTAATAACAGCAAAGAATCACAGAAAGGGCCACTTTTTGCAATCACTGAATACCAGACTTAAGTGAAAAAAAAAAAACAATATTATCCCTGAAGCTACACTGTCTTCATCTTTGCTTCACTGCACAGCTCCTCCTAGAACCTTTCCCTAAACCCTCTCTCCCACCAAATTTGAAGAAAGAGTACACATTCTCACAGGGTGTGCTTTCATTTTGGAAGATGCACATGTCAAACATGACATGCCATCATGAATTGTGATACCACCACCAGATACCATGATCACGGGCACAATACATAAGATACACAGACAGTCAGTCAGTCAGTCTTTAGCAATAATAATTTTGGTCCTTATTCAAGAAAGCACTTAAGCATGTGCATAAAGTTAAACGTAATCTTATGTGCCTTGCTGAACAGAGGCATTCCAAAGTTGGGGCCTTTATGTCCACTTCCCTTACATTATTCTTTACACGAGTATTTGCAGCGGACTTTAGTCACAGCCAAAAACCAGCAAGCACACATCCTAAGAATATACAGTAGAACCTCAGAGTTACGAACACCTCAGGAATGGGCGTTGTTCATAACCCTGAAATGTTTGTAACTCTGAACAAAATGTTATGGTGTCTCTTTCAAAAGTTTACAACTGACTGACTGAATATAGCTTTGAAACTTTACTATGCAGAAGAAGATTTCCATAACTTGCATCTGAAGAAGTGAGGTTCTTACCCACAAAAGCTTATACTCCCAATACTTCTGTTAGTCTTAAAGGTGCCACAGGACCCTCTGTTGCTTTTTACAGATTCAGACTAACACGGCTACCCCTCTGATACTTGACACCATGCAAGGCACGGCATTTAGCCATATGGAATGGAAATCTATCAACCTCATGCCTCTGGAGATTTCCATTACTTGCATCTGAAGAAGTGAGGTTCTTACCCACGAAAGCTTATGCTCCCAATAGTTCTGTTAGTCTTAAAGGTGCCACAGGACCCTCTGTTGCTTTATGCAGAAGAAAAATGCTGCTTTCCCTTTATTTTTTTAGTAGTTTACGTTTAACACAGTGTTGTACTGTATTTGCTTTTTTATTTTCATCTATGTTGCTGCCGAATTGTGTACTTCCAGTTCCAAATGAGGTATGTGATTGACTGGTCAGTTCGTAACTCTGGTGTTTGTAACTCTGAGGTTCTACTGTAGTGCCAAATTCTCTGCTGGTGTGATTTACAAACATTTTATGGGTAAATTTACACCAGCAAAAAATTTGGCCCATGAAGTGCATTTTCATTTATTTGATGTATAAACCAAATAAATGCAATATATACAAATAAGCAAATAAACAATGCCTATCTATTGTCTTAACAGTCTTTGACAGATACTGAGAAAGAGAATCCAATTAAAATCAGCAGTTAACCCACAACAACCTCAAATAAAACTCAACCCCCAATTAAACTTTCTCAAAAAAATCCCCTAACATTAGTCTTCATTAGGACTCTCTTGTAACATAAAAACTCCAAAGGAATGGATATGCTGTTCCATCCAAGCCTGTGAGATTTAGAAGTCTGTGCATACAGTGGTTTGCTTGTGAGTGCAAGAACCCAGAGCCTGAAATCTGAAGCAATTACTTAAATCTGCTTTACTCTTTTGAATTTCTTGCCAACCAAAAGAGACATTTGTGGTTCCATTACATTTACTATGGACTTTCCAAGGTTATTTGCTATACACCGCAATCCTGCAAACGCTTAGTCACATAAGTCATTTCACCTGTGGAAGTAGTCCCGTTCATCCCAGTGGAACTACTCAAGCAAGTAAAGTTACTCATGCAGCTAAGTTGGCAGAGTTGGACTCTACTGGAATAGTAAGAGGTGCTAAAGAATGTTCTCCACTATATGAAAAGCCTTTCACATTAATATATAGATATAAACCCTGAGTACTACCACAAGAAAGTAACTAGAATTAATTTGGACACCGTTTTCCTAAATACTTCACAGTAATTGGAACATGAGCCCTGATGAGCGGTGATGATTTGAGTTCTGCAAGGTAGAAAAGTATTTAGTTTATTAAGAAAATGATGATAATTTTCTTGCATAGGAGGACTGTAATACAAGACTCTGATTCCCCTTCAGATTTAGTTGGCTTTCCTGTCAGGATAAACTGTGTAATTTCGATTCTATTCACACAGAGGTTCCAAAAGTGGATTCCACAATGGGAATTCACACATAAATATGATGTAATAATACAATGTAGCTCAAGAGATGGCCTCTTAATCTTATTTTAAATGCTAACTACTAGTTATTAAAATCCAACTGTCCATGTTTGCTCTGTACAATACAGAAACTCCTCGCTTAACGTTGTAGTTTTGTTCCTGAAAAATGCAACTTTAAGCGAAACGATGTTAAGCGAATCCAATTTCCCCATAAGAATTAATGTAAATAGGGGGAGGTTAGGTTCCAGGGAAATTTTTTTCACCAGACAAAAAACTATATTTTTCTATATATACATACACACAGTATAAATTTTAAACAAACAATTTAATACTGTACACAGCAATGATGATTGTGAAGCTTGAATGAGATGGTGAAGTTAGAGGGTGGAAGAGGATGGGATATTTCTAAATAATAAACTAGCAATTGGCTGAGCCCTCAAAGGTTAACATGTTGCTAATGTAGCCTCACACTCTACAAGGCAGCACAAATGGAGGGAGGGCAGACAGCATGGCAGACAGAGACAGAGATACACACCCTGTGTGAGAGAGAGAGAGATGCGCATTGCCCCTTTAAGTACGCTGACACCACTCTATGTACACTTCCTTTTTAAGTAGATCAGGAAGTTGAGACAACAGCTTCGGCCAGCAACCTCCATCCATCCTGAGCCCTGCCATGTCCCCACCCTGCTCTATATGGAGAAGGGGTAAGCGGGGTGCAGGAGCAGGGATGAGGGGGACGCCCTGACATTAGCCCCCTTGTTCCCCCACCCTGCACAGCAAGCAGGAGGCTCCTGGGAGCAGCTCCAAGGCAGAGGGCAGGAGCAGCACATGGCAGTGGGGGGAGGGACAGAGAACTGCTGGCAATTGATAGCCTGCTGGGTGGCTGCTGCACAGGGAACTTAGGGGAATGGGGAACTGATGGGGGGCTCCCAGCCCACCTTGGATCCAAGCCCCCACCAGCTAGCTGCAAGGGGCTGCTCTTCCTGCAAGCAGTGGCCAAAGCAGGCGGCTGCCAAACAATGTTATAAGGGAGCATTGCGCAACTTTAAACGAGCATGTTCTCTAATTGGTCATCAATGAAACAACGTTAACCGGGATGACTTTAAGTGAGGGGTTACTGTACTAATATTTTTAAAATATAAAGATACTAGACATATAGGTTTGTGTGTGTCATGAGAACACATTATCACTATTTAGTTTCCTGCTGAATTATAGTGTATGTTTTTGAAACCATCCTTCCACAAGGTCTATATTCAAGTGCTTCATCAAAGAAATTTTATGGGAAGCACCATAGTTCAAAACCCACTATCATCTACACTTTGGATTTCTTATACATCTCTTTAAGTTGATCCTTGCTGCATAACTATACCTAAATGGGAGTGGATGTTAGGAACTTGAGAGGCTGTGAGCGGGTCATTTGAAGGGGTTTCCGTTTTGCAGGGTTCAATAGACCCATTTTGCATTTTCCATGAAATTTTTCACAAAACTTTTTTATTGTCAACATTATTAAAAATTTCAAAATGTTTTAATTTATCAGTTTCCATAAAATTTCAGTTATAATTTTGATAGACGTTTGGATGAGAAATGTTGCAAAAAAATTGAAGAAAACAAAAATTTAAAGATTTTTTTAAACAAATAAAAACTGTAAAAGGTCTGCTTTTCAACAAAGAGCCTTTTCCTTTGGAAAAAAAATGTCTACCAGCTCTAGTACTTATTAGTTTTGGGTGAAACTACTCAAAAATTCACACTAAATGTTCTGGGAATCAATGGAACCAAAAACTCAAGGCAAAACTGATCCACAACCTCACATTTCTCAAGGTCTCGGATGAAAACCTAAATTAAAATCAGAGCTTCATAGCACTAGGCACTTCTAGCTTACACATAGCAAAAGACAGTCCCTGACATGAGCAGCTTACTGTTTCAATAATCATGCAATATCACTCAGTTTTGCAAGGTTTTACCATAAAAATAGTCATCAGCCCAGGTTCACAAACC